CCTGTACGCTCCCGCAGGAAATGACCCCTGGCTTTCAGGAAGAGACAAGTGTGTTGTGAGCTCAGAAAGAGGAGCAAGGTTAACATACTGAGTAAGAGGGAAAAGAGACGACTGATGTAAGAAGGTGATTAAGGGAAGCAGGCCAAGTCTAAATTTATTTATTTTACTTATTTCATTTACAGCCTGCCTTTTTCACTGAGGTTTGAAGCAAATTACAGAATGTAATTACAGAATATAAAACCAACAGGGAGCAGGGAACTGCAATTAATAGTGCTGTAGGACTAGGATTACAGAACTGGGCAACAATGCAAACAAAAGTCTTACTGTTAAGTAACTGTGCATAGGCCTGAAGATGAATCCCCTTTTTATGTTAGTTTTCCAGAGCTATAACATCCCAGTATCCCTTTTTGCAGTGTGTGGAAAGCAAAAAACAAAACCTCAACATGGCCATATCACACATTGTATAATGGTGTACTACTTCCCATTTCATGTTCGGTCTTTTTCCTCTCAACACTGGATTTGCCTTTCTTCAGTGCAGCACACTGAGCTTTACCGTGGGTTTTTATACCACAGCTCCAACACTTCTTTCCATGGGTTAATCAGAAAGATAAAAAGCCCCACTTCAAATATCATTACAGATACCTTTAGTGTTCCCCAGTTTATCTGGCACAGAAATGTTTCATCTATTTTATGTTATTACTATGGCACATTGTACCTTAAGCAAAAAACCCCAAAAAACCAGAAAAAATCAGATTGTTTGGCCTTTTTAAAGTGTACAGTTTAATGGTAACTGTTACCTGTTGCTTTTGTGTTGTTTTGTGACTCAGATTACCTATCTTTCTCTCAATTATCTCTGAATACCTGTGGATAAGTGAATTAGTTATGAAAGTCTATGTGGCACAAATGTCAGTCATCAAGAAGGGATATCTAGTTGGTTCTTTGGCTTTGAATTATCTGTCTATGTGACTTAGTGGACTTCACTAGTAGGGTCTAAGGAAGCATTAAAATCCATCAGTCAAAGATTTACATAAATGTCAGTGGCAGGCTCAGAGGTTAAGACACTGAGCTGCAGACTGGAAGGTCTGCAGTTCTGCAGTTTTGCCACATTATGGAGTGAGCTCCAGGCTCTGACCCCAGCTCCTGCCAACCTAGCAGTTCAAAAGCAAGAAACTGCAAGTAGATAAATAGGTACCGCTTCTGTGGGAAGGTTACAGCGTTCCGTGCGCCTCGGCGTTTAGTCATGCCCAGGGGTCATTTCGTAGAAAAAGAGGTGCAGGAGCTCATTAGCATAACTTATTAGCATAACTTATTTGCATATGCCACACACCCTGACATCACCGGAAGTTTGTCAGAAGGCAACACCCACCGCTCAGGCTCCACTGGACTGTTTTGGATTGCTAGCTATGGGAGGGGAGGGAGAGCTTGTACCTGAATAAAACTTGATCTTAAAGGTGCCACTGGATTGTTTTGGACCGGGGGGGGGGGCAGGGGGAGCTCTGCAACTTACCTGGCTGCTTCTTGCTCTGACTGAGTGCTGGGGGTGGGGCTTGTTGCATGTGCCCGTCCCCTGGGCTCTTTACTGCCGGAGCTCCACTCCTGTGCGCTCCTGAAGGAAATGACCCCTGGTCATGCTAGCCACATGACCACAGAAACATCTTTGGACAGTGCTGGCTCTTCAGCTTGGAAATGGAGATGAGCACCACCACTTGGAGTTGGATTCGACTAGCTTTCGAGCAAGGGAAACCTTTACCTTTTACAGTGGCAGGCAATTGAGGGCACATTATGAACTCATAATGGGGAACTGGGATAATTTAATGGAGAGTCAAAGCAAAATATTTTTGCATTATCAACACTAAGGTTCAGAGGGAATAATTTATATATGAAGTGTGTTAATTCCCTTAAACCTACATAATTTGGAAGGCTTTCCTCAGTATTTTTATTTGTAGATTTTTAATGCTAAAATATTATTCTAATGTATTAAGCACATCTTTTATTTTAATGTAATTAATGTCATGCATGTAATGCTTATATTTATAAAATGCTCTTTCTAAAAAACACCAGACAAAATCATAGTCAGTGCTTCTGCACATTTCACATACTAATTTGTTATCACTGAATTGCTAAAAACATTTGCTTAAATGGGGGGAAGTTTACCTTCAAAAATAAATATTGGACTTTCATTCTTCAGACTTTGAAAAAATTCAGGTCTTTTAAGTTTTCTTCAGAGACTCAAAATAAACCGTAAGACACAGAGGGTAATTTCCTATTGCTCGGCATTTATAATTCCTGTGCTCTTAAACTTGCTACTTTTAATAAGCCATGTTTTCCAGGAATTCCAACTTCTTTCAAGGTATTTCATGATAAAGGTTTCCCTCACACAATGTCCCATTACAAAAGTCCTCAAGAAATTTACCTCCGTTGTGAAATAGAGTATTGTGCTATGCTCCCCATTTTCCATCCAGGATTAGACTATTTTATTGTTACCGACACAGAGATATACAGAAGGAGATGAGTACAATCAGTTGGGAACACATCTGGAACAGCACCCGAAAAAATGTTCTATAACTATAATATTGGTGGAATCCTTGAATTGATGGGAGTCGTGAAGCAAACCTAATTTAGGAGTGCGGCCGCTATTTGGAGGTTCGCACTCAGGAAGCTCCGCAGGCGCCCAGCCGAAACGTATTTAAGTGCCTTCCTCTGCCCGATTGCAGAATTTGTCTCTTTCTCGGGGAGAAGAGGGGGGACGCACAGGAAAGCAGGGGGAGTCTGTGCTCCCTTCACAAACCCCCTGCCTGCATGTTTCCTTTGTTCGCGATCCCCTTTCCCAAGGAAGGAGGGACTGCTTTTCTTCTTGAAGAAGGGCTGGCCTTTGGCAACGTGTAGGTGTGAGCTGGCATCAAAAGGATAAAGGACGCGGCTGACTGGTAGGGGTCTGGAGAGGGCAGTGAGCTAAGAGAGACTATAAGATTATGCTACCTAGTGACACAGGGACACGAGTCTGAGGGGTAGTGATCAACGTTCCTCGACCCAGGCTCTGCAGGGAACGGTGATTTTAACCTGCATCACCTAATGCCGCGACCCTTATTCGTAATTATATAGATAATAACGTGGTATACCTGGCTCCAGTTGAATTCATTCCCCGAAAAGGATATTTTAAGGAACGCAGACTAAAATACAATGGAATTGTTCTGCTCATAGTTTTACAGCAGGAGTGAGCGCGCGTTTTCTGCTCAGGAACGGGAAACCTTCTTTCCATGCCGAAAGAGACATTACTCAAACTTATCGATACACGCATCTCATCCACTCGCCAAAAGCCTCAGTGTTCCACTCAGCCATACACAGCGGTTCTTGTCCTGTCGGGAAGACTAATCTGCCACTATTAATACTTGTATTAAAATCCGAAAGATTTAAAAAACACAAAGCGATCTGTGTTTGAAACTGACCATCTCCTACCTGCCCCTGTGCCAGGCACCTGCAGTACTACTAGGGACAGAGATGCTAAAGACTCCCAAGCAGCGTTCCCTCTAAGCTGAGTTAGTGTGAGCTAGCTCACAGTTTTTTAGCCTCCGGCTCACAGATTTTTGTTTTAGCTCAGGAAGGATGACTCCAAAGCCAAGCTAATTTATGCGGTAGCCAAATCGCTCACTCACAACTTTAATGCCAGCAGCTCACAAAGTAGAATCTTTGCTCACAAGACTCCACAGCTTAGAGGGAGCGTTGCTCCCAAGGTCAACGTTTCATTTCGGCGAATTAAGCCACTAACGTAGTTAATATACATTAATGCACGGATTAGAAAAATAAGTAGTAAGGGAGTAAACTCTCTTTTACAATTTGTTTCCTGCTCCCTTCACTCTCTGGCCACTGAAAAAAAATTAAAAGCATTTTAAAATTTTAAAAGAAATATTAACAATATAACACACACACCGGGCTTTATTCTAATAAAACGCACTAATGAATAGCACACAGTGAACTGGAACACTATAAAATCTGGGCCGTCCAGGTCATGTTGTCTCTGTGTGTAAATGAAGTGGGTAGTTTTATTCAAAGTTGAAAAGCAATTCTATAGGCATATTGGCAGTTCACTGTTAAACTAATTTTAAATTAGGAAGGTATGAATATGGAGCCCTTAAAGGGAATGCAGAATACTACCATTATTTATGCTAATTTAAAATTGTAAAGCTCCTCCCTCAAATTTGGAAGATGTCCAATACTGGCATTCCCAGATGCTGAGCATCTGTCCCATCTACAAGGGGGTCTGCTTTATTAGATGACTCCATCTATCCTGACTACATGTTTCCCTGGTGACTTGGGAGTGTTCGTCAGAGATACTAAGAAAATAGATTCGATTCCAGTTTCCCCAAGAAGAATGAGACACGCATTTTCTTAACATGACGAAAGTTAAGTTGGCGTTGACAATCTAAAAGGCAAAAACGTTAAGATCCTTCCACTTTTGGAGACACTGAAAGTTACTTTTAGTTCAGATTCTCCAACTGATGGCTAGTAAAGAGGTTCCAGATTGCCAGCCACATGACAGGAATACCTGCCTACAGCCTGAGAAAATGTATTGAAATGCCCACTCCCCCCCCCCCGCCATACCATTGTGTCCTGAATTCTTTGTATTCTCTGTGATTTTCCCAGGCTTTACTTTTAAAAGCATATTCTCTCCAAAGGCCTTTCCTCCTTTGCCTGCCCTCCCCCTTCCCCATCACTTCTATCCACGGAGTCATTTGTATCGTTTGGATCCACCCAGTGGCTTCCACTTTGATTCCTGTACTTTGAAATGCAAACCTGCCTTTCAATGCAAATGCTCCGAGAGGTTGGCCCAATAAAACGTCTTTCCTCAGGGAGGTGCCTTTGCAAACTGGGGGAAAAAAAACTGCTCAAGAAGTTCAGGTGAACAGCTTATCAGGAAGAAGCTGTGAGTTAACCGCAAGGGCAGGCCAGAGAAGAAGCTGCAAGCACGGGACACACTATGCGCGCAGGGCCACTTGGGGATGATGTATGTGGGCTATCTGTTGGATAAGGACACCAACATGTACCCCAACCCAGTCAGGCATCCCAGCCTGAACCTCAGTCCGCAGAATTACGTGCCTGTGCCCTCTCAGTACCCGGATTTTGCTGGCTACCACCACGTGCCAGGGATTAACAGCGATCCTCATCATGGGCAGCCCGCGGGTGCCTGGGGTTCGCCATACACTCCAACCAAAGAGGATTGGCTCTCTTATGGCGCAGGAGCCCCTTCATCGGTTGCTAACCCGGGCCAGTTTGGATACAGCCCTCCTGATTTCAATCCAATACAGCCACCCGGCTCTGGATTGCTGCCGCCTTCCATGAACGGCTCCGTACCCCAGTTGTCCCCAAACGCACAAAGGCGTACCCCTTTTGAATGGATGAGACGCAACGTTCCCACCAGCAACAACGGTGGTAAGGAATCGTCTCTACTTCTCACTCACTAGTTTCAGTTAGCAGAGTGCAGGACAGGGCTGGAAACTTTATAAGGTTTGCTTTTCATTGCCGTTTGCACACCGTCTTGTACACACAAGAGTTTGTGGTCGAATTGCACTTTTAATTGCACCAGAACACATTATCTGCTGTTGAGGCAGGGTGTTGTTTAATGCAGATGTTTTTAATGATATAAGGATGATAATTTTATGGCTTTAAAACTGAGTATTGTAATATGTTTTTAATATTGTTACTGCAGATACATATATGTTGTTACCCGCCCTGAGCCTACAATGTGGGGAGGGAGGGCTATAAGTCTAAATAAATAAATAAATAAATAAAAATAAATAAATAACTGGAAGGGAGCTTGGGCTGCTGGCTGCAATCCAAGGGCCATTCCACACATTACAAAATTCCAACACAGGATGAACTTCCACTTGAGGATTCATGCAAACCGTGAGGGACTATTCCTGTGAGTTGTACAAACATGTAGTTTTCCCAGTTTATGAACCAGTGACTGGCAATGAACTCCCAGTGTGTATAATGGAGCATAACCCTGTATTGGTCACAAGTGGATTGCATATTACTTAATATTTTGTAACGTGTGAAGCAGCAACTCCAAGTTAAGATGACTTGAAATATATCTTGATTATGTAACTTACACTTAATTTTGAGTGAACATGCTCAAGGTGTGTGTGATGCCAGTGGCCAAACCAGCAAAAAGTTCACCCCATTAAACCTATTGATCTATTGATTAAATTTGCTGGATTGTGATTATTGGACCATACCCATTCATGTACTCCCCCACTTCCTCCTTGTGCTGCAGCAGCTGAGCCACCTGAAATTTTGTTCTAGGTGGTCAGCAAACCATCAGGAACAGCCCAAGCAGGGTGGGTATGCAATCAGAGGGAGAATCTGCCCCATCTTCTTCATATGAAAACGCTGTTTTGTTGGAGGAACTGTATGGTAGGATACACTCCATTGTATTTAGGATTATTCATGGTAACATTCCATAAAATAATAAAATCTTGTTAGTTTTTACTGATCCTGTGAAACTTTTGTTTATTTTAGGATCCTTGTAAGTCCTATTGACTGTAATGAAATACGTGTCCTACTTGTGAACTATATAACCAAACATGCTTTAGGTTTAGAGCATGAGATGGAAGGTTTAACTATGATTCCTAGAAGTGCATTGCAGGTAGAATTCCAAGGAAACAAAAGTTAAAGCTGAGTGACATGAAACGTTTTTTTAATTATATGTTTTACCTAGTTGTGTAACATCATGCACACAGCCAGTAGCTCATCTACATTTTAAGAAATGATTACATTCCCCCTATACACACCCTTAGCCTTTCAGTATCTTTGTCAAACACTTTACCAAGATTCTGGCAGTAGGCATTCATTGAGTCACAAGTTAATTTTTCTCTCATCTAGCAATGTAGTAAACTGTAGAATTCTTGCTCTAACTTAACTGGCAAGCCCTGCAGGTAAATAATTGTCATTTGGAGTGACAAGAGCAAAATCAAATCACATCAATGGCAAAGACTGTTGAGATGATTTGCCTGGAGAGAAGTCTCTGGCTCCTTTCTGGGAATACTCAGAAGACACACATTTTGGAGTGCTAGTTTCCATATCTGGGTGATTAATTTAACAGTTTTCCATAAAGTCAGCAAGGCAATGATAATGATTGAAAATTTTTTGCCTTATCAATATCCCACAGCATCTGAAGGGCTCCTTTACATACTATTTTAAATGATATTATGATGACCCTTGTTGGAAAGACCATGCATGAGAAATTGCTATAAGCTGTGGGGCATTTCACATTTTGTTTTTGTAAGTAAGTATATAATAAAACGTGCTGGGGGAGGCGGACAGAGAAAAGGTATTTCAGAAGCTGCGGACACTGACACAAAAGAAATTTTCAGTTTCCTATGCATTTTATTGTATTTTATATTGTTGGAACTCACCCTGAGCCTGCTTGCGGGGAGGGCTGGTTATAAATCCAAATAAGTAAATAAGTGTACACTCTTGCTTAAATAAGAGGCTCTTGAGTGGTCCTTTTTGATTATTTTAAAAGATGTACACTCTTTTTCAAACATACCTTTAATTTCCCTTTAGGTATGAAGTAGCTCCATGCTCCCGCACAGCCAAAAAGACATTTACGGTGCAAGCTTATGTAGCATAATGCCAGGCTAAGCCCACTGAAACCACTGACCTTTAAGAATGGAGTAACTCTGCCTAGGATCGCATTGACAGATCTATTTCTATGTCTGAACAAGCCTCCTACTAAGTGACAGCCTATCAGACCAGGGATCATGAGTAGAGACTTATCCTCACTTCCACTCTTGCTCTTTTTAAATATTCTGCCAAGCTTCTGGTACCATAAAATGATACATCCCTTTGAATACAGTTATTAATTTGCCATTTTCTAGAAAACTGTTGTCTAATGGTTGGGTTTCCTGTTTGTCCCAAAGTTCTGATCTTAGTTCTGATCCTGAGATCAAGTTATGATTTCTTTTCTGGTCTTTGGAGTAGGTACTGTGAAGGAAAATGTCAAGTTGGGTGGGTTTTTTCCCTTCTATAAACACCATATAAAGCAGCCCATATAGTGCCCCATTAAATAATCACAAATCAGTGGAACCACTCCGATGAACAAAGGTTTTATACGAAAGCGTGTGAAAAGGGGGAAGGAATAGAATGTGAGGATTTTAGTATGTGGGGAAAATGGTTTGCATGGATTGTAGAGATTATCATCTCTTAGTCTTTTTTACATGTTCAGTGAAAACCTGTTAAGGCCTGCACTGATCATTTGACCCATATTGACCATTTGACTCATATTCTGGAGTATTCTGGAGCTGTATGGTGGTGATTGCCCTGATTTGTATGTAATTATGGTCTTGCATGCAAGGCAGCATGAGACAAGGCTTTCATATGGTTTAAGGAAAGAAATGGGACCTTTGTAGGATGGGTTGCACCTGTGTGTGAAAGGACAGATTCTCCAAGTCCTGGAGATATTATTTGCTTTTGAGGAAATTATGTATGCACTATCCAAAAAGAAAAGCCATGTAATGTCTTTTTTTAAGACCAATCAAAATAATACTGTGTATACACATCTGCAGAATCTGCAGGCTAGTTGTTAATACAGCAACAACAACAAAGGTGGGAAACCTTTAGGCTATAAATCCTTATCTCTATGCTGATCTACTGATTCCAATTGAATAAGCAGAGCAGACAGATCATAACCTAAAAGATCTCACTCTTCCCCCTTTTAACTAGCCTGTTCTGGAAAATTCGAAAGTTAGCACACTATAAAGTTATGTGTTTTGATTGCTCTTTTTTTAAAAAAAGGAAAGGGTATTACACAGCTTTTGTTTTCGGATTTTATCATGGGCCAGTGTGGCTATCTACTTTATAATGTATGCACTGCATATAAGCATTTGCACATACTCAAAATCACTTAATGCAGATTATTCTCTTACACTCTTTAATCCTATTGTATTGGCAAGCAGAGCTGTAAAAAGGTGGATTTTCATCCATCTTTCAGTTCATGTTTACAGTGGGTATTCTCTAATCCACATTATTGAACATGAGTACAAAACCACAAGGTATTAATTATTTTGTGACAACATTCTGGTACTGGTCTGTGATGTAAAACACTATGTGAGATTTTTCGGTGGGGAATGTATTGTAGGATCAGTGTTTTGTGTTTTTTTTAATGTGTGAACCTGTTTGAGAAAGCTTTTGAGGGATTTTGTGCATAACCTGAGGGATGAGCTGACTTTCTGTGTTTATGTTTAAGAAATAATGGGGGAATTTAATTGCTTTGTTAGTTTTCACCAGTTGTGGCAAAGGTAGATTTGTACTGAGGAAACAAATCTGTAATTTCTGGGTTTGTCTGTTTGGATAGTGTATTTATTAAAGCTTCATTTTGCTCAGGGCTAAGGTACATTTAATTTACACTGTGAGGTAAGTGCTTGACCGATTCAAGTCCCAGAGGAGTAATCGTGTAAAGACATTGTAGAGATGAAGAGGTTTATTAAGTCCTGAGTCTGAGACTCTTCTACAGCACCAGCTCCGGCTTCCTAAAACGAGTATCAGTTTTTGAATATGCCACCCTGACCCATGACAAAAGAGCGGCCTGCGCAGGTCATAAATGAACCGGTTTCTAAAGGTGGGGGGTTGTTGCGTGCAAGCAACAAATTGTGAGAGGAAGGAAAGGGCGCGCGTGCCGCCAGCGAACTTTCCCGCCAAACCCACTTCTAGCGTCTCTTGCCCCGCAAGCGGGCTGGTTTCTTAGCGCCTCTTTCGACTCGAGGTTGTTCCTGTTTGAGCATGTCGCCGCACCAGAGCCCGATCCCGGAGCCTCGTGTTCGCGCTGAACTCTTGAACTCGGCGCGAGAAGGGGCTAATCGACAGGGCTCCTCGATGGGAAAGTGGAAGTCTCTCCACAGGGAAACGCAAATGAACATTCTGGGGAAAGACCCTGCAGCGCTGTCCAGTTCAAAGGCGGCCGGGAGAAGACACGGCTAATGAAAAGGGCCCACAAGCGCCTCCCTCAAGCCCAGTGCAAATTTACAAGCGTGGTTCTTTGTCATTCAGATAGGCGGTGGTCTCTCATGCGGCAGGGTGCCCTCATTGTCCTCGGCTTTGTGGGCTGGGAAGCAGGGACCATTGGCGCCCTTTGAAGTTGGGCCATCTTGAAGCACTTTCCTTTTCCTACATGAGCTGTAGTTTGGGCCAAGCAAACCCAACCACCATCATGCCTAGCCGTGGAACCATCACTCCCTGCCTTCTTTTCCCAAAAGGCGTTGTCAGGCCGGGCTGTCCTTTCTTCAGATTGATCCTTATGGGGTTGGTGAGGCTTGATGATTTGTGAGGGGTGTGGTGAAATAAACCAGAATTAAGAGAGGCAGAGAGAGATGCTGCCATTGGGATGAAGTTCACTTATGACAAGTGGCTTTGAAAATCCCAAACAATCCAGG